TCAGAAGAGTAACTTGATCTATAGTTATAGTATAGATTTATGAGGAAATAGTGAAGATTGATTATAATGGAGCAAAAATGGATGGATGATGATAGTTTCTTGACGTTAATTAGGTAATAATGATTGTGCAATGACAATATGGTGATTTTAATCGAGTGATATCGACTAGAAAAAAATGATTAGACAAAGGTGGTTGGGCAATGATAGCCAAGCAACGGTAGTTGAGTGATAGCTATCAAGTAATCGAGATCGGGTGTAGATCATTTTTTTAGCATATGTGTCTTAAAAGCCTCAGAGTCAACTGATCTTAGGCTCATTGGATTCTGATCTCTTTGAGACACTCATTTCATCCACAAGCACAAAATATTTGAACTTTATACAATCCTCCAACGAATGTTACGAAGTGTTTAACCATGTTTTAAGTGCTTAATTAGTTCAAACTAATTGGAGTTAGAACCGATCATTTTACTATCGTTGAGTTCTTCTCGTTGAAACATTCGTTTTGACTATAAATTTATTAAAATAAAAGATTAAATCATCTTGAAATATTAATTCTAAAAAGTTTCAATATAAATATTTTTGCATGAAGATTTACATTTAATCAGATGAATTTTACAATACATATATTAAAAAAAAAAATCTATGATGCTTGAGTACTATTTAAATATGTTATTTTGACGCATATTCGAATATGTCTTTGAGCCTATGCGTAAACTACAAATTGTGCACAGTTCGAAAAGAATTCATAGCAAATGAATAAATAATAATAATAACAAAGTTCCAAAGAGAGAACTATTTAAAGATGCATAAGTACTATTTAACGATGACATTTTCAGGCATATTCGAATATGTCTTAGATATCCTGACACAAAGGACAAATCATGCACATAATTTAAACTTCAGCAAATCATTGATAAGTTCATGACGTTCCTACACTCTAATTTTTTAATATTTAGTGCAAACATAATTTATTCAAGGAAAACTCATGCAAATTTAATTTAGGCTTCATTTGATACCGCTTTTTACTATTTTCTTGAAAAAAAAAAAAAGAAAATTAGTACAATTTCTTTTTTTAATCTAGAATTTTTTGAAAGCTGTCTTAAATGAAGCCTCAGGGTTTGAGTTGAGTTACCTAATTATATAGTCATATAGGTCTAATTATAACTAGGTATAATTGGACGTGCCTGAGGATGAGTTCAATTTGATGTTTAATTAAAATGTTGATTGTATAGTCAAAAAAGCATTTGCAATTGGGGGTGGCAAATATCGTATGATAAAACATAAAAGGAAGTAATCTGCTTGGTTTTGTTCGTCTTTGTTGTTATTGGCCTTCTCTTGGATTTTGGTTGGTGTGCTTATTCGGTGGTTCCTATGCATTTGTTTGGTTTTCTTGTTGGGTGTTGTTCTTTCGATGGGGCACAGCTGTGATGGTTGTCGATTGTTCTGTTTGGGTCTAGGTTTGGCTGGGGTGTTAAGTTTGGGGACGGTAGTTGGGGGTCTCTCTCTGTGGTTGCTCGGTTAGTTTAATTTCTGTTGGTTGGCTTGTTGCTTATTGTTTCTTTTGTTTCCTTCCATGCAGGTTGTTGCAGCCTGGAGCTCGTGTGATCTTGTTCTCTGGCGCTTCTGGTTGGTTGGCCCTTGTCGGCTATGAGTTGTTTCTTTGACTTTGTTCGGCTTGGTCTCTCTTTTTGCAGCCTTTTTGATGTTCCTGTTGGCTGGTCTATTGCTGTTCGTATGGGGTGTCTTGCTTGGATTGCTGCTTGGTTCGGCTCATCGTTTGCTTTACAGTTGTCTGGAATATGGAGGGGCTCTTCATTGTTCGATCTTCTTTTCTTTTGCTTGACTATTATATATATTGAATCAAAGCCTCGTAGTTTTTATTTCAAATGTTATTTTTTAGAGGGCAATTGATTCTGTAAGGACTTTATATATATATATATATATATATACTCTTACTTATTAGGCACCAAAGAGAACAATGGATGAATTTTGGAAGTTAAAGATATCATATTAATGCTTTATTTGGATATTTTGTAACTACTTTCTACAACTATTTTTTAGTATAAAAATTTCTTGAAAACATTAAAAAGTTGTGGCAAAATAAGTATTCCAAACGAAGCCTAAATTTCACACGCATCATCAGCATTACATAAATTTTACAAGATTAAGAGAAATCGCCACTGTTTGCAACATGTTATGACAGTGGTAAAAAAGTTTTATACACTCTTAATTGAAATGAACTTAAATATTATATTAACATACATTTCTTATGAAATCATTAGGTTTTACTTTTGGGATCTCGAGTATCCTCTCAATAAGGATCGTCTTCTTGGCTTTAGGGTTTTTTTTTTTTAAATCATCAAACATCTAAGCACTTCTTAGAGGTCCATTATGAAAACAATCCTTAGTCATCCTATCATTTGAACGAAGAAATAATGCAACAATAACACATAAACTAATCAATAGAAAATTGACATAGATCAAATAAAATTTATTATATTACATTTCAAAAGTAACATTATATAGTTATTCTAATCATTACATCTAGTTAATGTTAAAAAGTTATTAATGCATTTCTTTGATAGCGATTTTTTTTTCATCTCTTTACCTCTACTTCTTTATGATTACTCAAACTATGCAAAGAGAATTTTTAGGACTCTACATCAGACTTATTGTTGGTTTTTCAATGACAATCCCTATACAAATATCATATAAGGCATTATCAAACTATACATCCTCATCACCATTCCTTCTAAATTAATCTATGGAAAGAGAGCTAGAATATTTGCATCTATCAATGCCATGCTATGGGGGTTATTCGAGCGGAATGATATTATAAATTTCTCATTCCATCGATTCTACTCTTAGATTTGTAAAAGAAGTTGGGTTTTTGAGGATCATGTGATCACAATTTGTCATCTATGTGCTCCAACTTACATTTGTGCTTATTAATGATGCCTTTTAAACCGTATAGATGATCACCCATCGAATTGTGCAAGATGTTTGAAGAATATTTGCTTAATACCTATGGGTTATTTCTTTGTGTTTTTTTATGTAATTGTTTATATGTTTTAGGACTTCAAGCACAATAATCTTCATTTATTGACAATTTAGGTGCATTGACGATTAAAATTCAATATTATGGAGCATATTTTTGGCATGCAAAAGGGAAATGAATGGAATCTATGGTTAATCATTCATCTAGAAGAAGATCTGGACCAACAATCATAAAGTGGGCATCACATTACTCACTATGATGCTACGATATAATTATTTAGGCATTTACAACCTAAAATACAACATATTGGGCACCATAAAGCAGTTTTGGCTTCCATAATGCATAAATGGGATGCAATTATATATTCTAAACTTTTTATTTGATAGGTTGATTGAAGACGATCCAAAATATCAATTTATAATGTTTTTAGTGATTTATAAAACTTTCAAGTACAATAGAGTTTTCAATAATTTAATTCACCTTTTCTCTCCCCATTTTTATTTTGGGATAGAGCAAATAGTTGATTTAATTCCTTACCCAATGATTCTATTATGAATTGGGATGAACAACATCAAAATTTTCTCCCAAAATACTTCCCTCCAAGGAATACAAGAATGATGATCATAATCTCTAACTTTTCTCAAATGGATGGCGAAACTCACTATATGATGATTGAGAGAGATACTATAATACACTTGAATTGATAGATTATTTTCTTGGCGAGAAAGAAAGTTAGAAAAGAGTTTAGATTGAAAATATATTATTGCATAAAAATAAGTTAAGTGGGGAAACTCCCATGTCTTCTTAGTGGTATCTTGAAGCATGGTGGTATAAACGATGGATGATTCAAGATTGTTAAGGAGCAAAGTAAGAATAATATAATCAAAAGCTTTTTAGTTTGAAGCCTTAAAGGAGGAACATTAAGGGGATGGAATTTGCAATTTCATTTGAGGAGAAAATTAAAGGCTGTCGACCATAAGGGATAGCTTATATCATTAACTTCGATTGTGGTATTAATGATAGAGGGCCTTTCTTTATAAAGAGAATGATAGAATATTTGAAAGTAAGGTGATATGTACAAAGGGTTAAAAGACACAAAAATCATGCTAAAAGATTCAAGTATGAAGTAGCGCTAGTGAGCAGGTACATCAGAAAGCAGGATGTGTGGCTAGCTAGAACATGTAAGGAGAGCTATGAAATCTACTAGGATTTTTTGTTGGCATGCAAGGATACCAAGATATGCTTGCAACATGCATGAAAGCATACAAATCATGAGCAAGGTTGTCTGGATTCTTAATAGGTGTAGGAACCCATAGTGGCTAGTTGAGTCTATGTGCATAGATGTGAGGTCACATATGAAAAGACACAAACAATAGTAGACTATGATGAGGTATGCAAGTAGATATATACAACTATTGAGATTAAAGTGTAGATTGAGAAGTATATCCTCAAGAGATATGTTGCATGTCAATGTTGTAGATGTTATAAGGATGAGGAGGGGGTCGATGATAACTATGCATAGGGTTAGCATCCATAGACATTCTTCCATACTTTGAGTTGGTTTGTTTTGGAGAGGGCCAGCAAGTTGTAGAGGGCGAGTCGACGTAGTGGGAGATTATACTCAGAGAGGGTAAGCACACCTAAAGCTATGATATCATGTTAAGAGAGAAATTTTGATGTCTTTATTCATTGAAAAATGATGCTTATTAATAGGCATACATAAAGGATACATAGGAATGAAAGAAAGCATATAATTAATAACTATAATTAAGGAAGAATTAATATCAATTTTGTTATAAAAATATATATTTTTATATATTGATTTCTTAATATGCCAATGGAAGCCTTGTAGTACATTTTGAAGGCACTTTAACAGGTTATTTATATATCTAAAACTATCCTGAAGCTCTAATGAAGTTGATGCTCTCTTGTCACAGGTAAGATAATGATATCAAATTTCTTTAAAATTTATGAGAAAAATGACAACATGCCCGAGGGCAGATACAATATTCCATCATAAAATAGCAACTTTATAATAAGAACTTTCTAGACACTCACAAACTTCTTCAGCAAACAACAATATAATGATATTTAATGAAACTCATTACATTCCGCAGTTCAATAAAACTGTATCACTTTCTTTCTATTCGGTTTTATTTGATCTATCTTGTTCATAATAATTATTATCTCCATCTTCTGTTCATCGGTTAACAAGCATTACCAGTGAAAAGATTTATTCAGTCTTTAGTTTTCTTTTAGTATTCTTAATTAGCGTGTGTGGAAGCCAAGAAGGTAACACAGAACTATGGTGAGTAGCATCCAACCTAATATACAGTTAATCAACCTATGTCCTTGACAAAATCTTTGTGTTTCAGTTGCTGCTGCAACATTATTGTCTGATTTGATGGAGTCCTCAATGGTCTCAGTATCCCCAAATCCAATTAAATTCTTAGCCGTTGAGCCACAAATTTCACAGATCCTGAAAAAAAAAGGCAGGATTATAAGTCAAAATATGTTCATAGGAAGATAGAGAATTCACTACAAAGATACAAAGAAAGGTTTTTTTTTTTTTTTTTTTTTTTTCTTCCTTCATTTTTATTTTCATATGGATATAATCAAAATTCAGTAGAATTTTTCTATTATAATTGAATAGCTTTCCATGTAAGCACCAAAGAATTGAAAAGAAAAATAAGTGCCATATTTTCTTATAATATATATTGAATACTATTTTGAGAGATTTGTAAAGCGGCAAAGCTGAGTTCTAGAAGATTGTCTAAAAATTAGATATGGTAAGATTTCTCCTTAAAAAAATGTCTAAAACTAGTATGCAATATTGTTTAAAGCCTCAAAATGATTTCATTAGTATTTAAGGCTTCGTTTTTGAAACTGTTTTCTTACTGATTCTTAAAACAATTTTTTATATAAAAATTAAAAATTATGCAATAAAAAGCTGCTTTAAGAAGCACTAAGAAAACAGTCCCAAATGAAGCTTTAGGTTTCGTTAGGGACGGCTTCCTGTTTCTTAAAGCAGCTTTTTAGTATAAAAAAATTAATTTTTAAACTAGACAGCTATTTTAAAAATCAATAAAAAAACCGTCCCAAACGAAGCCTAAATTTCCAAAAACATCAAGCCTAAGTAGATATGAATCAGAAGATTCGCTAAAAACAGTAATCAGCCTGAATATTTTAGGGTTTTAAGTATTTTTACTCTAACAGCTACATCAAACTTCATCTATGGGTATTTTAGTAATGGTTCTAACTAAAGTAGCATGCTAGCTTTAACTATTTCTTTTGTTCTTAAGCCATCAATTAAACCATGCTTCCCATTTACTTTCTTCAAGATAAGCTTTGTAACATCAAACACAAAAGCTATAAAAAATAAAAAACTATATAGCGAATCCGTAGACATGTTAAAAAAAGATTAAGACGAAGCTTCTAAAGCCTTTTCTTGCTCTAAATTTCGAGGTGAACGAATTGCAAAAATAACAAAACGATGCAGTTAAGAAATATTTCCTCACTTGTTTCCTCTGATGTTAAACCATTTCTCTGCACATTTCTGGTGAGCAAAAGCCAAATCACCGTTGCAGGAACAGCCCAACACAATTGGGATGCCCAATTCCTGGCTGCAAGTATCTAAATTGATAGAACAAATCCTGCAATCCTTCTCAGACTTGTCCATAATCAAATTAACATCCACTGAACCACACTCCAAATCCAACTCAGCTGAAGAATCTGAGTTGCAGAGGCTTCTACAAGGCATCTGAATTCCAACTTTCTCAACATTGGATGTCGTTGAAAGCTGGCAATAATCATAAGGCAATTTCGTTTCATAATTTGAATTGCAATTCTCTTTCTCAGCTTCATTCAAGCAAATAACAACAAAATTCTCGAATTGAGGATGTCTCTCTTCCAAACATGCCATTTGTGCCTGAACCAAGAAGGAGAAGATGTTGATAGATAAGGCAAGGAAAAATAGCTTAGGAGAGAAAGATAGATTAAAATCAAATGAACAGTGAGTCCACAAGGGGAGCCTGGTAAGCCAAACCTCAAGCCAGCAAATTATAAATCACAAAAAACACCAGAAAAAAAGCTCCAAAGGATCAAACTCAATGGTAAAGTCTTAGAAGAGACCAAGAAATCTCAGAAAGTCATCAAATCCATGTAAGTATTGACAAAATCCATCAAGTTTGAATCTTTTTTATCTCTGTAAAAATAAGAAATTCGAAGAAGAGATGATGATCAAACGAACCCAGAGAGGAGTCGGAAATCACTTTTCTGTGATCACAAACACTTTCGCAATTCACGAAATACGATTGGTACTTCCTTGCAGAGATTATGAAGGAAAGAGAAGAAATCAATAGTGCTCGACGTCGAGCAAAGAGGGAGATGAAGCGGTGGAAAGACGGAAGTTTTTTTTTTTTTTATAATATTCAATGAACAAAAAATTAGACTCGGTGGGATTTATTTTGAATATTACACAATAGTTAATAATTCTGCTGAACTAAACTCTCACAAAGTTGTTAAATATTTTTTCTCTCTCTCTCTCTATATACCGCACTTTATTTAATTTTTGAAGAAATATACTAAAAAAATTTACTTAGGGCTAAAATTCATCCCATAGAATTCAGAGATATGTTCAACTTTATATAAGTAATTATTGAGAAAAATAAAAAAGGGCTTAAATTGAATAAAAAGCTAAAATATATATTTTTATATATTAATTAAGTTAAATTAATCCTTGTAGTATGATTTTGAAGATCGAGAACCAGTCATATAACCAGCTCAGCTAATCTTAAAAATTGAGTCCTACATCAAAATGGTAGGAACAGATTAAAACCACCAATTTGATTAAATAAACTAATTTAAAAAATTTGTATAAAATATTAAATTATATAATTAATTTAAATATAACATATTTAAGTTTTATAATTAGCATAAAATTTTAATAACGATCATTTACAAACCAATCACAACAAAACATGCCCACATAGCTCACCACTTCATCACAAGTTTCTATGAATTAAATATATCTTTTAATCATAAATTATAATATTATTATCATATTATTTATTTTTTATTTAAATAAGTTTAATTTTTATTACATCATTTTACTCAATTTTGATCGATCTATTGAACCTGTAAACTTCTCTTTTTTTTTTATTATTATTTGATGTCCAGTTTAATTTTGACAATCCTAGCTTGAAGAATGACAATTATTCAAAAAATAAATTTAATGAAGAGATATTCGAGTATATCCTATATTTCCTCTAATATAGGACAGACCATTTATAGTTAAAAACTTTGGCAAATCGTTAGATGCGTTAAAAGTGGTTTTAGAAGTACATCACAACGTGTTATCGACATCCAACAAATTTTCTATATGATGACATTCCACCTAATATTGTAAATTAATTATGTTGACCGTTTAAAAGCCCTAAGTATTTGTTTAGGGCTAATTTATGACACAATATTTATCATTCAAGTTATTCAATATAATATTTATTATAATCAATTTATTTGATTTTGAGTTAATATTAAATTTGCAAGTGTAATTTGAACTCATAATATCAACATCAACCTTAAGTATGTTTTTTTATTGAATTTCTTAATGTAAGTCGTATATGCTTTGTGCAAATGAGGATAGAAATGCACTAGATTTATATGAAATAGGCATATCAATGAGATCAATTAGTTCTCTTGGTTCATATCTAATAACAACATGGAAATGAACCATACTTAATATAATTACTACAGGCAAACTAAATGATAGGGAGAACGTACAAGATTTTATGATATATTAGCATGATCAGTCACTAAGCACTACTAAAACGTCAATGTTTTCGTAGCAGTTTCTAGCAACGGTTTTTTTAAAAACCGCCTTAAATTTATTGTATAGTAGCCACAAGATTTTTAAAAATTCTGGACATTTGTGGCGGTTATAACCGCCACAAATATCCAGACTTGTGGCAGTTAAAACCGCCACAACACTAATTATAAGTTCATATGGATAGAATTTGTGGCTGTTATAATCGCTGCAAATCTGAATATTTATGGCGGTTATAACCACTGTTAAATTCAGCACTTCATCAAATCTACCCCGCCGATCCTTAAACCGCTGCGGAATGTCGTTGCAGTGCATTGCAATTACAGCGGGGGTGCAGCGGTTTTCTGCAAAGAAAGTTGTGATGGTTATAACCGCCGGGATAGGACAAAAATTGTGCTGCAATAGACTTATTTTTTGGTAGTGGCGCACCTAAATATGTCTCTTAAGATTTTATTGACAATTTGGGTTTGTTCGTTAATCTAAGAATGATAGCATGTAGAAAATGAAAGATTAGTGATAAGTTTCTTCCATAGGATTTTCTTAAGTAGCTCATAAATCTCACATAATGAGCATTGATAATTTTCTTGGAAAGGCCATGTAAACTTCATATATGTTGAAAGAAGATATATGTCATATGTGATGCATTTAATGTTTTATAGTATGGAATGAAGTGTGTCATTTAAAAAAAAAATTGATAAAAAACTACTAAGAGTCAAAGGGTAGTATGGGGAAATCCTTGAATAAAGTTTGTACTATGATCTTTTCATAGTTTGTGGAAGATTAGAAGTGTGTACAAATCAAAGTTATGCTTTCCATTATTTGCTATCTAGCAAGTAAGACATCGAGCAATATTATGGTTTGCATCTCTCTTTAGGCTCAATAAGTAGAACCTTTTTTCTATCATAGTTATTATCTTGTCATTATCGAAGTGACTAAACACAACTCTTGAAGGTATTTTTTTCAATTAGAATATTTCACAATGAATAGTGAGGAATGTAGAGATACATATCTTAAAAGAGAGAGCCATATCGTATTGATACTTAGGGGTGTCAATATTTGACACGACACGAAAACCCGACCCGGAACCGACCCGAAAAATCCAGGTTGAACCCGACCCGTTTGAAAAACGGGTCGGGTTCGGGTTCACAGATCGGGTTCGGATTTTCGACCCGTTTCTCTACCCGGGTCGGGTTAGGGTCGACCCGTTTTCCACCCGGGTCAGTTCGGGTTCGACCCGAACCCGACCCTTGACCCGAAATTTATGATACTCATATTAATAATGGGTGTATTAAAATTTTAGAACTCTAAAATTTGATGAAGGTCTTTATAATTAGAATAATTGTATTAACCCTTACTAAATCAAATGACCTTTACACTTATTGTTCTTTAATAATACGCATATCCTACTAAAGACATTGGTAATTTTATTCTTAACATCGAACTCATGCTTGAGAACAAATGTATTATCTTGAAATAAAGTAATTAAATCCATTTTACATGATGAGAGCTAAGTTTTTTCCCTTTTTTTTTTTAGTATTTAGATATTTTTGAGCTTTATAATCATAGTAGAGTACAAAATTTCATGAAAGGAGATAATATCATCAATAACCTCAGAGTTTGGGCGACGACAAAATACTCATGATTATATGCGGAATAATGCTAACACACATCATTTAGCTAAATTTAAATTATGTGAGATAATTTAATAAAATTTAATTGAGAGTTTTTTTTTTTAACTTAAATTATTTGAGATTGATTGAATTGGATGAATTACACCCTATATTAACTTACTTGAATTAGATGAAACTTTTATTTTGGTTGATAATTTGTAATTAATATCATCAAAAGTTCAGAGCTATGATGATGACTAAGGCTTCATTTGAGGTGGCTTTCTTACTGCTTTCTAAAGCGGCTTTCTAATTTTTGTACTAAAATGATGTTTTAAGAAGCAATAAAAAAGCTGTCTCAAATGAATTCTAAGAAATTAACAGCTCAAAAGCTTCACTTATATTGTATGAACGTTAATAAAGATTTACAGATACATGAAAAAAAAAAATAGTTATCTCATATTTAGAGTTAATAATAGACGTGTAAGAATTAATTGAAAAATTAATGTGATGATATGATAAATTTAACTAAGATATACTTTTTTTTTATCGGATGATTTTTGTCGATTTCTTAGTAACAATTAGAATAAAAGGATTTTTTGTGGGAATTTTGAAGGAATGAATGCAAATTCATATACACACATCACATCTATAAGCTTTGAATTCAAGACCTCTTAGTTGGTACCCTAAGCTCCTAACCAACAGATCAAGATTGGCTGCTAGGATATGTCATTTAGGCTTCATTAGGTATAATTTTCTTATTATTTTTTAAAACAACTTTTAAGTATTGTTGCGGACTAGAATATATGTGGCGATAAAGTTTTAATTCTACGTCTTAGCGTTGCACGGATATCCAGCTCACACACAGAGAACATAAAATTTTTTACATGAAAAATCCTGAAAAGGAAAAAATCACGGGGTCTAGCTCAGTTGAAAAGATTCCACTAGAATTTGAGTTGAGTATAGTGGGCTGACGCGTCCTTGAGGGCGATCAGATTACAAATGTCAACCGTATGGTTGAAGTCTAATGTCAAATCTGGCGTCACTTGGAAGTTCGGGTGTTAGTTAGTAATCTAGCAGTGACTTGGTGGTCTAGCAGAATTTCGGGCCTCAAGTGGTGTTCGACAAAACTTTGGGCCTCAAGGAGTGGTCCGGTGGAGCTCAGGGCCTCATGTGGAGGTCCGGTGGAGGTGAGGGCCTCAAGTGATGGTATGGCGAAGGTGAGAGACTGAAGGGGTGATCCGGCATAGGTGAGGGCCTCAAGCGGTGGTCCGGCGAAGGTCAGGGCCTCAAGCGATGGTTTGACGAAGGTGAGGGTCTCAATCGGTGGTCCGGCAGAGGTAAGGGCCTCAAGTGGTGGTCTGGTGGAGGTCATGAGGGCCTCAATTTGTGGTCCAACGAAGGTGAGGGTCACAAGTGGTGGTTCGACGAAGGAGAGGACCTCTAGTGGTGGTCTGGCAGAGGTGAGGGCCTCAAGTGGTGGGCCAGCGAATGTGATTGCATCAAGTGGTGATCCGACGATGGTGAGAGCCTCAAGTGGATACTCGATGAAGGTGAGAGCCTCAAGTGGTGGTTCAACGAAGGTGAGGGCTTCAAGTGGTGGTCCAGCAGAGGTGAGGGCCTCAAGTGGTGGGCCGGCGAAGGTGAGGGCCTCAAGTGATGGTCCGACGATGGTGAGGGCCTCAAGTGGTTACCCGACCAAGGTGAGAGCCTCAAGTGGTGGTCTAATGAAGGTGAGGGCCTGAAGTGGTGATCCACCAGAGGTGAGGGGCTCAAGTAGTGGTCCGGCGAAGCAACGACGTCAGGTGGTGCTCCGACGACGGAACTCAGGCGGTGGTCGAGGAGCAGCAATGAGGCAAGAGCTATTTCCGATCTCTCTCTTTGAATTCTTTGGCTTGAGTTTCCTTTTCAAGAGAAAGGAGTGGTCTATTTCTATATTTTTTGAGTGGCATGACCCGTAAATAGGTAAGAGATCAAGGGCAAATGGGAGTGGTTGGATGGACGGCCGA